CTCTGCCCCCCGCCACTCCTGCCACCCCTATCCCTTCGGCCGGGACGAAGGAGGACGAAACGGACAGAAGGGCCCAGGGGCTTGGGGGGGTCCCCTTATTGGGGGACGCGACCGGTAAGCCCCTGTTGGTTCCCTCGGAAATCAGGCGCACACCCCGAATTCGACTGGAGACCCGCGGGGGGTAGGGTGCGAGCCGGTGGGGGGTCCCTGGAGCGCCACCCCTCCCCCACCGCCACCTCCGGCCCTCGGCTGGGTGCGCGCCGCCTGTGGCCCCACCGAGGTGGGAGCGGGAGCCCACTGCGGCCGCCGCCCTCCCTCCCTCCCTGCCTCCCGAGCGCTGGTTCCCATTAGAGCAGTTCCGGAGCTGACTTCGCTGGGGGGCGGGGCAGGTGACCCCCCTACTCGGATCCTCCAGGTCCTAAAGGTAGCAGGGTTTCCCGTACCCTCCAGAGAAATCCCTTCGGCTTCCCCCAACTTGTAAATCAGCTTGCACCTCAACTTAAGGAGTGTCGACTTCCACGAAGTGACCTTCGCAGGTGCAGGGGAGCAGGTGGAGGAGTAAGGGGCGTTCTAACGGAATGTGGAGTCGCTGGAGGAGAGCAAGGATGGTGGAGGCTCCAGGAGAGAGGACGGCAGAGAGGGGGAGGCTTCGTTGTGCCCAGGGTTGGGTGGATGAAGACAGTTTTCAGATGTCCCTAGTGGCTCATCCTGAGTTCATCGCATAGGTGGGGGGGACCTGTGAGCTTCAGGGAGTCTTTGCATCTTCATCTGGCTTGAAGACTGGTGGGCAGCTGACTGTACAGGTGGCCACCAGGTGAGGTAGGCTAGGAGGTCATGGGCAGCCACAGCACCAGCCCTGGGAGGTGAGGTGAGCATGGTGGATACCAAGACCCAAAGAACAGCCAGAGGGGAGCCATATGTTCTGGGCAGAGTTAAGGAAAATCAGGACCCCTCCCAACAAAGAAGGGGAGGGTGTTAAAGGGGAGAGGCCAGGGCGGTGGGATGGACATGTCGGGCCCTCAAGGAGCTTTCCCGGCGGTGGGCTGGACAGGACCACCGTGCTAGGAGAACAGTTCCGCTTTCCCGTGGCCAAGCAGTGTTCACTGAGCAGGATGGGACCCTCTGCTTCTCTTCCTCCATCCAGCCTAGGTAGGATAGAAGAAATAGAGAGGAAAAGAGACTAAGGGTAAGGAAGAAGAGACTAGCGATGAATCTAAAAGCCCAGGCCCATTTTTTTCTTTCAGGCTGGTCATTCCTAAATTTCTGAAAAATCCACAAACATTAGAGTTACTGTAAATAAACTCATTTATGAAAATTCTCTCATTTTGATTGAAGTTTTAGAGTACTGTGAGGATGTATTTTCAGATTAGATAAAGCAAAGCTGTGCTTTAAGAAACCTGTCATCGAGGCACATTCCAGAGCCTGACTAGACGGAGGAGGTGGTGTGAACCTGAAGACCCGGGAGGGGACCGGAGCTCCCTCAGTGCCCATGATCAGAGAGCCGAGCTCACCAGGCCCACCTCGTGCCCACGTGCCTTCCCAGCGTCCCCTCACCAAGTCGCCTTTAAAAGAAGAGCCCATGGGGCTGCAGCTGTAGTTCAGTGGTGGAGTACTTGCTGGCATGTGCAAGGCCCTGGGTTCAATCCCCAGCACAGGGAAAAAAAAAAACCCAGATACCCTGAAATTGTATTTTGCTTTCAAGATGGCACAGGTTCTGCTCTGAGAATGTGTATCTTCACCCTTCCTAGCAAAGCTCTTGCTCTCTTTGCTAAAACCTGATTTGCACTTAAATTTCTTCTATTTGTCAAGACCCTGGAAGGTCCAACTAGAGGTGACTTCTACCTCTGGAGAGACCTGCTTGATCCCCCTTATGGTGACACAGCCACCAGCAAACTATCCGTCTCCATCCTCAGCCTCCAGCATGCAGAAGGTATCCAAAGCCACCAGCTGCCACCAGCTTCCCAGCCCTCAGTCCTCACACTGCTGACCTCTACCAACTGCCTCCTTCCAAACTGGATTTTTTGTTCCTGCCTTTCCCTACCCCTCACTGCTTGGGCACAGTGTGGCTCCCTGGTGGGGGATGACCCTTGCCATTCTTGGGGAAGGGGTGTACTTCCCGGTGGATGGGCATGCAGTAAAGGTGTCTGGAGCCAGCCTGTTTCCCTTTTTGCTTTGCCATTTGCAGGTTACAGACTGCTCTGGAAAATCTAACAGGAGTACCAGGACGTGGGAAAGTCGGAAGGCAGCACCCAGTTCCCCCATCTTGAGATACAGCTATAGCCATCCAAGAGCCAAGCTGGTTTGCCAGCAAAACTGATATCAGCAATAACTAGTGCCCCCCCCCCAAAAAAATTCCTCTTTACCTCTCCTCCAGAGCCCCCTAGAGTCCTCATACCTCCTGGAGCAGGAGAGCACATTGTTTTACAGAGGGGGACACCAAAGAAGAGGTCCTGGTGGGGTAGGCAAGATTCAGAAGCAGGGAGGGGTTGGTGTGTGATCGGCAAAAATGGGTGAAATCCCCACCCTGGCACCAGTGGAAAAGATACTTTGCCAGGGAGGGCCATGCCCACGTGCCACATGGATAGCTACAATTTCAACTGTTGTGAAGAACCACCTGCTGGGGTCTCTGTGGGAAAGGTGGGTGTTCTCAGGACTGGGAGGTGGCAGAGGGAGGCACCTTATGGGTGCCGACAGGAAGGGGTCAGAGCTTTTTCAGAATTGTTCTTTCTCTCCTGGTACCAGCTGCACTGCTACGGGGAGGGTGACACGGCTGTCCCTATCTTCCTTGATGGGGTACTTAGCATGTGTCAGGTACTGTGCTAAGTGCTGGTATTTCTCAAGAGGATAAACGTTCCCAGCCCATAAGTCATCTGTAGGAGAAGAGTTCAGAGTTTCCAGAAGGAAATGGGAAGCCCCTGAAGGTTTTTCAACCTGGATGAGAGTGGGTGACCCATGGTGTACTTTTTGGAAGATCAAACTGATATCAACAGAGGAGCTAGTTGGAGAAAGGCAAGCAAGACCTGGAGGGGTACGCATAAGGAGCTGAAGATGATAAGGTCAGATTTAAAGGTTGCTAAGAAAGAACTTACAGGGGCTGGAGTTGTGGCTCAGTGGTAAGAGTGCTTACCTAGCACAGGTGAAGCACTTGGTTTGATCCTCAGCACCTCACAAAAATAAATAAATAAAAATAAAGTCATTGTGTCCACCTACAACTAAAAAAAAATATTTTAAAAAGAAAGAACTTACAGAGAGGAAGAGTTGAGATGTTGCAGAGAAGGGGTGATGGAGTGAGACTCTGAAGAAAGTGGAGAGGAGGAAGCAGGAGAGATTTGTATTAAATGTGTGGCGAGAATGCCTGATTCTGGATGGGTGTGAAGGAGGCAGGACTGCTCCATCTCAAAAGCACCAGCCTCAGTTATTCAGGGCCCAAGTCAATCATGTGTAACCATGGTGGTGGGAACATACGGCTTTATTATATTGTTCTTAATACTTTACACTTGAAATATAACAAAAATAAGTTACAGCTTGACATGGATATGCACACCTGTAATCCCAGCTGCTCAGGAGCCCGAAGCAGAAGAGTCGTAAGTTCAAGTCCAGCTTGTGCAACCCAGCAAGACCCTGCCTCAAAATAAAATCAATCAATAAATAAGGGCTGGAATGTGGCTCAGTGGTAGAGAACCTCTGGGTTCAATCCCCAGTAGAGGAAGGAAGGAAAGAGAGAAAATGAAAAGTCAATGCACAGAATGGGAGAAAATCATATATCTGATCAAGACCTATAATCCAGAATATGTAAGTGTGTTCCATTTCAACAGTAAAAGCCAACAATTCAATTTTTTTTCTTAACCATGAATGTGTATATGATTTAAAGCCTGCATCACTTCTTGGGATGATGAGATTCCTAAGTCCAGAGCCTGCTGTGTAAGCACCTTCTTCATCCTCTTGGTCCTGAATCTACCTCACTGAAATTTTGAAGCTCCAGTTCCTGTGTACACCCTCCTGAGCTAGGAGAAGGCCAGAGTCCTCTCAGCCCATTCCCCACCTTCTCTTCTGACCCTTCCTGGATTCCCAGGGCCAGGGCCAGGAGAACCCTTGGGTTCCAGGAAGGCCTGTCCAGCCTGGGCTTTGGGGCCAGTTGAAAAGGTACCTGGAGTACAAGAGGTGGGTATCCACTGCTGCATCCAGTTGCTCCTCACTCCTGCTGCGTCAGTGAGCACCCAGAAATCCAGTTCTAAAATGGAAAAAAACTGGAAGAGATGTTTTCCCTAAGATGACATACAAGTGTCCAATGAGCTCATGAAAAATACTTGTCTTTTGCTGTCATAATTACTGCATTTTCCTAAATGCAGTGAAAACCACTGTGAGATGCCGCTTCACGCCCAATGGGATGGGTGATTGTAGGATACAACTAATAATAATAAAACAGAAAGCAGGTATTGGCGAGGGTGTGGGAAGACCCCAGCCCTCAGAGTGGCTGGCAGG